TTCACTCAAATATCGTTTAGAATTTTTTACAAGCTTTAAACGTTAAAAAAACTCAGTTATAAGCAGATTTAACAGTAAAAAATATCAATTGAATTTAAAAATATTTAACTGCAAAAAAATATCAATTGAATCTTCGTGAGAATAAAAATCTTATACATATATTTTATATTTTATTTAACATCTATGTTGACTTTTGATGACAGCCACAGAATACATCAATAATTTTATTAACATATGTCGAGGGGCACCGTTCAATAAAATGTAAGAAAATGTACATGGAATATTAAAGTGATGTTGCAGATAAGTCTGGACTATTTCAGCGAACTGAAGATTCGTTGACAAACAACCATCGGAACCATAAACGAAATGAATTAAATATTGCTTATAATATTTTATTTTCGCAATATTTTGGGATAAAATTTCAGAAGGAGACGATTATATGTTAGATGATTTTTCACCTAGCACTGTCTTTGACTGATGTCACCGCCATTCAATTTTTGATGTCCACTAAAAAATTTGTAGGATTAAATAGCCAATGTTTCTCTAAGCTCTAGACTTAATTAGATAATGAGCTTATTTAAGCAGTGTGAGTTTTTCTCACTTAATGGAAGAACAATAAACTTTTCAGGAGCTGTTTTGGTAAAAGTTTTTTTGACGAGCCACATCAATAATTTCATTTCAAAACATCTGCAATTAAGACGATTTTAATTAGATATTTGAATTTCAGGAGTCTTATTTTTTCAACTTATTCAACAAATTTTTCTTTTATAATTAATATTTTGATCCTGAATTTTTATGAATTTCCAACGGTTCGACATCAATGCCGCATTGTATGAATGTGCGGCAGTGTGTGTCTTGTGTGAATGTGACGTGAACACATTTATGAATACGGCTTGAAAAATTGTATGAATATACAATTTTCGTTAACACTCATATGAATACGGGGTGAACACTTTTGTGAAAACGGCGTGTACGTTTGTATTAAATTGGTATGAGGAGAACAGGGAAATTGATTTACGACTCTTAAGTCTTCAGTAAAAGAAAGGAATTGGATACTTAAGTTACCTGAACTCGATTAGCTGTACAACATGTACAAAGATGCTTCTAAAAGCGTATATTTTGAAGCATCCAAACACACAAGATATCAAACTAGAATTCATAAAATTTGTAACTGTTTCTAAATAATGTGGCCTCAATTTATTGATCGTTTGAGGTGCTGAAAACATTTCGAGTGCACACACAAACACCACAAATTTTGAAAACAACATCTCCTAATTTACATTTTTCGATGCTTCACAGTTCATCGCTGTATATATTTACAATCCAGCGTATGAATTTCCTTATAACACTATTATAAGCTCTATAAAATATTGTTGATGCTCACAGGTTCATATCAATGTGGAAACCAATTCCACTAATTTCCTGAATCTTACTTTTATCATAAACCTTCATATATCATTTTATATTTATTATTCGGTGTATTGCAACTGATGAGCAAGCAATCCAACCAAAATGTGTCTGTGGAATTTTCTTTGAAGACCTTAAAATTCAGTTTGGCAATTCAAATTATCCTACTTCTAGCTTACCAATTAAAGCTATTTAGAAAATTAAACCACGATATATGAGCAAAAAAATTTGATAACGCAATCGTCTTCATATTCCAGCAAGCACACGTATAGTGTTTTGAATTGAAAATATTTATTCATTTAACACCCAAATACTTTTTCACGTGTTTACAAGTCATTCTTTCTCGTAATCAGAGTTTCTTACATTTAACACTCGTGTGTGACAAAAGAAAGTACTCTGAAAGAAGTATCTCCATTTGACATACAAATAATCTTCACTTGTACTCAGAGAAAAACATGCATTATCGTTGTCACACCTACATATAACATTAATAACAATAGTACTGAAGAGGTTCCTCCAGCAAATTACCGTAATAATCCTTACGATTGAACATACGGTCCATTTCAATAACATTTCATAAACAGTGCGCAGTATGAAAAGTTATATTAGGGTGCAGTATCAATTTATTTCTGGTACACAGTTAGAGTGTAAATTGTTAAAGGATTATTATGCTGGGTTACTTGAGCCCTGCTTAACGATATAAAACTTGTCATAATCAATATACATCGTTTGTTAATTATAAAAAATTATAATACTTCGAGAACACAAATATTCCTAAGTTGTGACAAAATTGCAATAGTTTGTAATACTCAGGACTTATTAAATAACTAGTTTTAGGGTAATGACAAGTGTCCCAAATTTAGAATGTGATTATTTTTCCAGTAAATCTGAAACCTGTGCTCGAAAAAATGGTACTATCGTCCTAAAAATTTTGTCCTCGGAGTTTTGATTGATCGCGAAGCAAATTGATAAATCGCAAACAGAAAAAATTTAAATTGGTGCGATATTCAAAATCAATTATTAATAATAAATAACGCACTTCTTGAAAATTCCCAGAAGTTTATATCTATTTAAAATCCGTATGCATAAATGGAAAAGAGTATGGAACCAATCAACGTTGAGACCAAGATTATTTATGCCATCATAATAATCTCTAAGAAAAATCTTGGATTACATCGAATATCGATTTCAAGCTTGAAAAAATGTGTACTCATGCCTGACTTATGCAGCGAAAACCTCTCACCTTCCAGCTCAGCGACAGATAAACTTACAAAATTACATCTTATTCGAGATAACATGAACATTACACCATATCCCGATAACATGAAAGATGGTATCTGGGCTTTCATCGCTCAACAAAGATTACTTCATCGTATTCTATGTTGTCTCTATTTATTATCGATAAAACTTATCTTTTATATCCAGATTGAGCAATGATGCAGACATGCTACTTGTATTGTTAGTGAAGACAGCAGTGACATGATGCAGACATGTTGCTTGCATTGTTAGTGAAGACAACGGTGACATGATGCAGACATGTCATTTGCATTGTGAGTGAAGACAACAGTGACATGATGCAGACATGTTACTTGCATTGTTAGTGAAGACAACAGTGACATGATGCAGACATATCACTTGCATTGTTAGTGAAGACAACAGTGACATGATGCAAACATGTTACTTGTATTGTTAGTGAAGACAACAGTGACATGATGCAGACATATTACTTGCATTGTTAGTGAAGACAGCAGTGACATGATGCAGACATGTTACTTGCATTGTTAGTGAAGACAACAGTAACTACTACCGAATTAATGGTAATCACATGAATAATATCTGACAGTGAACAATATTCATGGTGGTTAATTACACGTAAACAAATTTCGTGTTTTAACTTAAGTAAATTATTTCTGGTAGTTCTCATTACCAGAGTCTGAAAGTAGTTTGGAAAAATGATAACTCATGTTATATATTTTAATTAATATTTCTGGAATATATGTATTGACCTTCGTTTGACATGAAGCTAAATGTGGATACAATAAATTAAAACATGTGTCTTTATATGACTTGACCTTGGATATATCTCTGTTGAAGATTCTATATTAACGGAGCATAACAATACAGGCATGTCAAAATTGTCAATAAAACTTTGTATTGAAGTCAATGGAACATGAAATAATAAATTTTCAACAAATGTTGAAACAAATGTTAAAAGATTGATTTCAATAAGGCCAAGGTTGATTTGAAATCGAAATTATTTAGAATGAGTGAGGTAAATAAAATGTCTTTACGTCAGCTAATTGGCTCAATTTCAAACGAGACAAATTAACTGAGGCAAGACATCAAAAGTTATTCACATATTTCAAATAAATTTCAAAACAATAACTTGCGAGTAAACAATGACAAGGAATTACGGTTCATTCAGTCACATAAAAGTTCCTGACTCCAAATGCTGTGTAGGCGAAATGAACCAAATGAAAGCTTGACAAACTCTTATAATATCCAAGATGATTTTGGCACATCTAAAATTCTCGTGATGCTGTTGAACAGTAGTAAAAGTAGAATATATAAGAACAACACATGTTTTGCAATGAAAATGTCAGTTAATGTTAATTACTTTAAGGACTATTTTCACTTCAACGCCGAAAGAAGTTTTTGTTGTGCGAGCTGACTGGCTAAGTAGACGCGCCACATACATCGAAGTGAAGTATCCTTATGAAGCAATAATTTTTCAAAGAGAGTTTCCTGCACTCTGATGTATTAGTCTTATAAATCTAAACTAGAAACTACCTACAGACTGCACCAAGTAATCATTACAGACTGCACCAAGTAATCATTACAGACTGCACCAAATAATCATTACAGACTGCACCATGTAATCATTACAGACTGCACCAAGTAATCATTACAGACTGCACCATGTAATCATTACAGACTGCACCAGGTAATCATTACAGACTGCTCCGAGTAACTGTCACAGACTGCACCAAATACTTAATACAGACTGCTCCGAGTAATCATTACAGACTGCACCAAGTAATCATTACAGACTGCACCAAGTAATCAATACAGACTGCTACAAGTAATCAATACAGATGGCTCCAGGTAATCATTACAGACTGCACCGAGCAATAATTACAGACTGCAGCGAGTAATCATAACAGACTGCACCAAGTAATCATTACAGACTGCTCATAGGTAATCATTACAAACTGCACCAAATAATTAGCATTCAAACCACTACGATTGGTAATCTCGAAAAGTTCACTACGTTGGTTAGGTCTAAATTTCTAAAGTAAAAATCCACTATAAGCTCAAGTGAAACCTAAATAAGATTTTTAATACTATTGACTATATCATAGAAATTGCCCATAAATACCCCAAGCAACAATCTTAGAAGCATAGTGACTAGTAGTTCTTCTATCAGGTATGTATATCATTGGAAAAATATCACCAGATTCAAGTAGCCGTCTATGAAGGGATGAAATTTAAAACTTTATTTTTTATCTTCATTGAGAAAATATAACTAAACGAGAATATTTATATCGGCGTAAGCAGTCTAGGTTTTGCCCGGCCAAGATGGCGTTCTAGAGTTAGTATGTATCATTGATACGCAGGAGAAAAAACGAACCAGAGAAGCCAGCAGGAAAAACACCAACGCTGGCAGTGCCATGGCGCTCGCCTGCATCCGTGACGCTGCGTTGGTTTGCATTGCCGCCGACTGTTCGCCTGGTAAGGGAGAATAAGTGATGCGTTAATACTCATAATCTTCGTTAAATATCCAGTGCACTTACGTCAGCATAATCAATCTTTATATCCTGCACTTGGATCAGCATAATCATCTTTAAATCCTTAATCTAGTTGCATCAGCATAATAATCTTTGAAACCTTAATGCACTAGCATCAGCATAGTCATCTTTAAATCCTGCACTTGCATCAGCATAATCATCTTTAAATCCTGCACTTGCATCAACATAATCATCTTTAAATCCTGCACTAGCATAAGCATAATCATCTTTAAATCCTGCACTTGCATCCGCATAATCGTCAATAAACCCTGCACTTACTTCAGCATAATCATCTATAAATCCTTCAATTGGATCAGCATAATCATCTTTAAATAGTGCACTTGCATCAGCATAATCATCTTTAAATCCTGCACTTGCATCAAGCATAATCATCTTTAAATCCTGCACTTGCATCAGCATAATCATCTTTAAATCCTGCACTTGCATCAGCATAATCATCTCTAAATCCTGCTCTTGCATCAGCATAATCAACTCTAAATCCCCAACACCCTTGCATATCATAATCATCTCTGCATCTTCCATGCACTGTGGTCGCACTACCAACATGTCCATCATGTTGGAACGCACGACATGCAACTTATAAGTTTGCCAATCTCCTGTTTTAAAGAGATTTGCAATGTGAAGATTTGATTATTTATTTAAGTTTATGGAAGAATAATTTTTTTAGTTTCTAACTAGTCGTTAGAATGTAAATAGCTCAACAAACCAATGAAAAATGTGCAGTCAAGTCATAGAAGGTTTTGTAATAGAAATGAAGAGGATAAATTGTAAATAAAAACTGACCCAAGTGACATGTTGCAAATTAATGCGTGGGTTTCCTCCTCCATACGCCAGAGCCTATCGCTAACATTAGCCAATTTCCCTAATCTTATTAGCATACTGCAGTCCTCGATTGCGTCGTATTCAGACCTAAGTCTATGAATCTCGGGAATAATGAGATAATAACTCACCATTAAGCACGTGCACACGTATACTTGTCGAGTTCATGTGTAGTATGATGTAGGTAGTATGATGTCGAGTGCAGGTGTGGTATGATGAGGTCATCATTTAATGACTCACCATTAAGCACGTGCACACGTATACTTGTCGAATTCATGTCCTGAGGAGAGCACGTGTAGTGTGATGAGGTCATCATGTAATGACTCACCATTAAGCACGTGCACACGTATACTTGTCGAGTTCATGTCCTGAGGAGAGCACGTGTAATCACCGGAGTCCTGCACTCGAGCGTTCCTGATAAGAAGATGGCTGCTGGTCGTGGGACCCTTCTCCACCACCAGGCTTATGCCGTCTCTGCTCGAGCTGTAGCTGATGCTCTGTATCATTGTCATTGTGGTTTGTTAATCCATATTTCGGGAAGAATTTTATCTGAATCAATGTTGTCATGGTTTATAGATTAAATTTTTAGGAAAAATTGTATTTATATCAATACAATTATGCTCGAGCTGTAGCTGATGCTCTGTATCATTGTCATTGTGGTTTGTTAATCCATATTTCGGGAAGAATTTTATCTGAATCACTGTTGTCATGGTTTATAGATTAAATTTTTATGAAAAATTTTATTTTATATCAGTACATTTATTTATGCTTTGCGCTCAGTATCGTAGTCGTCGTGGAAACTGAAATTTTCCTAAAAAATTTATTTTATATAAATTCTATTAGATCTTTTATTAGTGAATCTATTTTCATAACGAGAAAATAGGCAAAAATTACTGTTAATCTATGGAACCTAATTGAATGAATTGTACGAGTATATCAGAAAAATAGGAAGACTATTTTTATCTACATAAAAAACAAAGCAAGTAAAAATTTCTAATTTAGAAGTAATATTTTTAATAAACATAGAAGAACTGAAAAATTTGTCTTATTCTAAAATTCCCCACAATGAATTGTGTGACGACGCAATTCCATGCAATCGCCTGAATAAGCCTGCATTAATATTCAATTAATATTCATGACGCTGCAAAAACAAGCGTTCATCAATGCATTTCAGTGGTGATATCCTCATCAATAAATATGAATTGTTGTGTTGGCTGCAAGGCTCGTCTACCGCGCTTATAGGATTCCTTTGAATGGACAATGAGCAAAATTATGCAAAATTTATTGCTATCTTCGAGCCAATTTACGCAAGGCGCGCTAGCAATACCCAGCAAAGCCTGGACTTTCAGCAATAATTCGCAATAAATAATCCGTTCATTTTCTGACGTATAGGAAGTTAGAAAAATTAATTGAATTTATTAAAACATTGACGAATGTAAATATAAATGATGACCATATTTCGGTTCATGTGATGTAGTAGCCAAGTTTATTTTACTGAACCTTCTAAATCATTTTAAACTTTTGATCGAGATTTTGAACTTAATAACTTTGCATTTCCTAACAAATTCCAATCCCATTCAAGCGCCATTTTATAAAAAAGAAGCCACTATTTATTCCGAGCATTACATTGAAGAAAATAACCCGTACTGTGGTAGAAAGCTCTAAATTGCTTTTCCTAAATCTACAAATCCATAAAATAACTATATGAAATAATGATACTATTACAGAGAAAAGCAAAGCTGAGATTTGAAAATTTATCATAAGAAAACTAGGGCATGAATAAATAATAGGTGCTCTAGGTTGTTTAAACTAGGGCATGAATAGGGCATGAATAATTAGGGGTTTTAGCCTTTAGGTGTGTCTATTTCTATATAGGTGTTTATTTTATATATGAAATATTTTACCTTGTTTCGATGGAACCAGTAAATATAGGCCGGCGGCTCAGGTATGTCGTGCAGAACACACGTCAGGTTGATCATGCTGTGGCGCTGCACGTACAGGTCTGGTGAACCCAAGATCTCCACCTTGGGGGCTGGGAAGTGGGGAACAATTCGAACGCCTTGTATTATTTGTATTATCAGAGCAAACAGGATGATTCCACACATTAATCAATGATATGATATTCTAATTAAACATGCTGTGGCGTTGCACGTACAGGTCTGGTGAACCCAAGATCTCCACCTTGGGGGCTGGGAAGTGGGGAACAATTCGAACGCCTTGTATTATTTGTATTATCAGAGCAAACAGGATGATTCCACACATTAATCAATGATATGATATTCTAATTAAACATGCTGTGGCGTTGCACGTACAGGTCTGGTGACATTAGGGTCTCTACCTTAGGGGGTAGGAAATGGAAGATAATTCCGACGCATGATATTATTTCAACGGTAACAGAATAATACCATATATTCATAAATCAAGATTATATAGGCGCTGCCTCTGCAAGGTGGCAGGCTTGGTCTAAAAGAATTATGGCAAATAAGCAAATATTGTATTGGAATTGGATATTCTAAAAAATCATGCTCCGAACTTCGAACATGATGTACAATGAATCGTGCTCCGATTCCTCGACTTTTAACCTATCGTGAACAACAACTCCGACCTATCGAATATTCATTTAGATGTCGTAAAAGTCCTTCATTATGTTTGTTTTTAACTTGATAATAAAAAAAATTGCCTCAACTTTTTTTTGAGTGTCATATTAAGCACATAACATCCAGGCGTGTTGCTGCCAGAACAAAAACCTTCACTTGACGCCAGGCACTAAATATCGAGGAAGCATTGCACGCTTGCATTAATTTTGGTGTTCTTGAAAACTTAAATCCAAGGACAAGAGCTTCACAAGTTTGCGTAGAGCGTGCAAGAAATGTTTGTTTGGTTGTGACATGGAAACGTGACGCTTGACAATTAATAACTTACTGGCCAGTCACAAATAATAATTAACTGAGAGCTCGCTATCAAAAACACTTTGAAAACTCAGAGAACCCGCAATAAATAACACCGAAAACACACAATTAATAACACTGAGATCTTGTAATTAAAAACTAACTGAGGATTCACAATTAGCAATTCGTCGACAACTTGCAATTCCTAACTCACTGAGAGCTTTCAATTCCCAACTCACTGAGAGCTTTCAATTCCTAACTTGCTGAAAATTCGCGCTGAAAACTCGCTATTCCTAATCCACTGAGAATTCACAAAACCCAATTCACTGAAAAAACCCAATTCCTAATCCACTGAGAATTCGAAATTAATTATTCACTGAAAACTCGCAATTCCTAATCTACTCAAAATTCGAAATTAGTAACTCACTGAAAACTAATAATTTGTAACTCAGTGAGAATTCACAATTCCTAACTCACTGAGAACTCGCAATTAGTAACTCAAGTCATCAAGAACTCGCAACTCTCAACTCGCTAAGAACTCTCAACTCACTGAGAATTCTCAACTCACTAATAACTCTCAACTCACTAAGAACTCTCAACTCACTATGAACTGTCAACTCACTAAGAACTCTCAACTCACTATGAACTGTCAACTCACTAAGAACTCTCAACTCGCTAGGAACTCTCAACTCACTAAGAACTCTCAAGTCACTAAGAACTCTCAACTCACTAAGAACTCTCTACTCACTAAGAACTCTCAACTCACTAAGAACTCCTAACTCACTAAGAACTCTCAACTCACTAAGAACTCGCAGGTGCGTGGTGAAGACCTTGATTGGCTTGGTGCTGATCTGGCAGTCGTAGTGGCCCTCGTCTCGGGGCTGCACGCTGCGGATGGTGAGCGTCCACTGGTTTGTGCCATCCAGGTGCGTCGCCTTGACAATAAAACAAACAATGTTATTCCTTCGTAAATTGTCAATAAAACAAGCAATATTATTCATCCGTAAATGTTGAACGTCCACTGGTTTGTGCCGTCCAGGTGCGTCGCCTTGGCAATAAAGCAAACAATGTTCTTCCTTCGTAAATTGTCAATAAAACAAGCAATATTATTCATCCGTAAATGGTGAACGTCCACTGGTTTGTGCCGTCCAGGTGCGTCGCCTTGACAATAAAAAACAAGCAATGTTATCCCTTCGTAAATTGTCAATAAAACAAGCAATATTATTCATCCGTAAAATATTTTACGATTAGTTGTTGGTTCAGAGTCTTCTACATCGCGCACCGCAGGTGAGTTTTATTGGTTATAAAAAAATAAATTATGAGCGAAAAGAAAATATTGAAAAATTGTTTATTCTGTTGACATTTTCTTTCCCTGTCAGTTGTCTGTGGTCACTGAGCAAATAATACGAGTACATAAATGTCACTGAACATTTTATTATAACTGGCCATTAACGGCGATTTCATTCAATAAAGTGGATAAATTTTGAATTTTCAATACGTTATGGTATTATTTTTTCAATTTATTTATAAGAAGACTTAATTGCTAGAAATTATGATACTTCTCTGCATATGTAGTTCTGTAAAAAATTTCTTAGATAACAATATTAGTAATAATAATAATAAAGAAAATATTAATAATATTCATAATAATAATAGTGATAAGTTTTAATTAGAATATAATGAATACTTATACTACTGAATTAAATGTGACTCATATTGTTACTACACTATTGTAAATAACAATATGGTCGAACAAATTAATCTAAATTTTTGGCTTGATGGAATAGCCTGGCTAGTTGTAAGCAAGAAAAAGTGCTATATGTCAAACAAATGAAAAGCTTGCATGTTATTAATAACAACAATAATTTATTGGGAAAACTTTCTTTATTGAGAAGCTTGTCAAAAATGCTTATGGTCCCTAAAAAAGCACACCCACACAGTCACACGCAATTAAATTATAAATCATAAGCTTCATTCTAGTCACCGAAATCAGTAAAATATAAATAAAACAAATGATCCTGACCAGTTACACTGACCTGGTAGCGCAGGTCTGTCGTGTACGTGTATTTCCCGACTGTCAGAATCCGAAGATCACGCCCACGTATCCACGATATTTGCTGTGAAGAAATAACACATACAAAATATAAATAAGAGATAAACTACGCATATATTTAAAAAAATTTTTTTTTTCTCTAATACAAAATTATGATAAAAAGTAATATTTTTTTAACCATTCTTGAAACATTCACGAATTTTTCCGAAAAATTCCATTCGCATTATGCCAGAATTACGCACGATGGGAATAAAGTTAAAGTTACAAAATTCTTCCGGTTTACGCAAGTGTTAACGCGGTCGTCAACTATTTTTCGATATCGGATTAATTTTACCGTATCCCGAAATTTCAGTAAAATGAAAAAAATGCGTATGTGTCGTGTTGGCTGGTCAGAACGCGCAATTCATTAGGCATCTCATTTCGAGGATCAGAGCGAGCATCAGGTCCCACAATAGCAAGCCAGATAAAAGCGATACTATTACCACATGCAACGAGCATTGCATCAATTGGAAAAAGCTTTTTTAATCCTTGTAATCACACCAAGCGCGTCGCTGGCTCCAAAATAAATTAATCTTTGATTTCACTGGCTCATTAAAGCTGAATTTGAACTTAGAATTTATCTGCAGCTCCGAAATGTCCAATGCTTGATGAAATTTCTTTATTACCACGGGATGTTAGCAGCTGACATAATTTTTAAAGTTAATCTATTGTAATAATGATAAAAAGTTTTGTCTTAAAAAATTAATTAAACGAATTTCAAATGAATTTGGCAAATTTTGGAGAATATATCACTTCAGGAAAATTTCATGAAATGTTAGTTCGATGAGTGAAGGTTGCTCTACTGAATGTCTAATTGACATCGTGCTGATGAATTGGCAACCATTGAATAACTCGTACATCAGACCAAGTCCCACATGTTTTGACTCCTAACAGATCCTCATAGAATTACATCTTTCATTAACGGCCTGTGAAGTGCATTGAAAAGAGTAATTCAAAAGATTGTTTGATCCAATACCCACCGTTCTAATGCCGATGTTGCGCACTTGGCAGTGAAGTTCGGCGTTGCGTCCAACATGCGACGTGAGTACCCACCGTTCTGTTGCCGATGTTGTGCACTCGGCAGTGAAGTTCGGCGTTGCGCCCAACATGCGACGTGAGTACCCTGCACTCGGCAGTGAAGTTCTGCGTTGTGCCCAACATGCGACGTGAGTACCCACCGTTCTGTTGCCAATGTAGTGCACTCGGCAGTGAAGTTCTGCGTTGCGCCCAACATGGGACGTGAGTACCCACCGTTCTGTTGCCGATGTTGTGCACTCGGCAGTGAAGTTCGGCGTTGCGCCCAACATGCGAGGTGAGATTAGCTTGCATTGTCGAGTCGAAGTAGGGCTGGTTCGTGATGAGCGGCGGAGGAGGGATCAGAGTTTCGTGTGCCACTGCTGCAGAAAATATCCCTGTGGATGGACAGGAGGAAGAAAGTTTACTTACCTCGGAGAGTTTGTGTTGGAAGAAGTATAAGAGAATAACGAATGTGCCTAGGTAAAAATGGAGCTAGGGATAATAATACTGAACCGTGAAAAGATACGTTGGAAATTCAAATTTAGTTTATTTTATCCTAACTAAGGAAAGAAAGAAAAATTTTGCGGCCAACTGAAATAGAATTAAATAGAGTGAAACATGATTAATTTCTACAATACACTTGCAGATAGGTTAATTATAGGAAAATGATAAGCAGCATAGAGAAGTAGACAATATATAACATATAACAGGACGGAAAGTTATCCAAATATCATATTGTTCGTAAAAGAGAAGGAACAGTGAAGCGGCGCGTGAATGAAACTGAGAATTTAAAAAAAAGGACTTGCTGTAAGTACAATAAATGTACTTTCAATAAATAATTGCTGACAGTATAATAAATAAATAAACTGTGTTTATTAAAACCCGGCCATAAAACGCTGATATATAGAATTTTTAACAAAATTGGGTGACTCCAGAATACAGTGTAATAAACCTTAGCCCAAGTAAAATAATTCCATTGGAGGCTTAAATTCAGAAGCGGAAAAATGCATAGTGGCAGCAAGGAACGTCAATTATTACTGAAGAACGTCAGAGCATTGCCGAAAAATGTAAAATTAAATCAAAAACAAAAAGAAATCAATGACAGCACGCTCAACGAATTTCTTTTTAAACAGAGTGCGTGAATAAATTGTGATTATGAGTCATTAGTTTTAGCTCGGCTGCTCAATATTAATAAAGTGAGCAGGAAGAAATCGCGCAACGCTTTTGAAGAATAGGTCATATTCATTTTAATTTGCTGATCTTTCTTGAATCTATGAACACCGTTTAGTACACACCGGATGAATGTTAATGAATGGATGAATGTATAATAAAATAATGAATTCTGGCGCGTAAATCAATTTAGAAGATCTTGTTTCTGCTTCTTCATGATGAAAATAATCATCAAAATTAAAAGTGCAAAAATCCAAGTGAGGTTATATATTCAATTAAGTGAACTTGAGACAAGATTCCAACAGTATGCGTATAATGCAAATGTATTTCAATTGCAAACAATCAGCGGGAATAAAGTTTGGAATACTGCAAAGGATGAGAAAACCTGGGTGTTGAAAATGATAACTGAATGTATTCAGACATATTTCATTAAATCTGTACAGATTTCCGATAAAAAGTAGATCAATAGTGGCTTTCATAAGTTATCGATAACGGGGCACTAACGTGGAAAAAATATTTGCATAAATCCAAATACATTTAGGTTGGGTAATTCAATAAGTAAACTATTCATGCTACAGAACATTGATGATCATAATAAATTTCCTCACAGTCATTCATTGTTTTCATCGTTCTGAATGATCTTAAAGAATAGTCAGTGTATCAGTCTGGTATTAGAGTTTGATAGAATAAGAGAGTGGCTAAAAACTCGCAGTCACGGCAGCTCTGAACATCATGTCATGATCGATTATCCTCATTAACTGAGCTCCCAAGAAGGAAATAATTTGCAGTGGATTGACCCTCGGACCTCACTTCGATTCGTGTGAGGAAGTAAAGGCTTGGCTTCGAATATCAGACCAATATTTTCACCTATGAAATAAATTCTTGCTTTTATTCATAAAAAACACAAAAAAATAGTTTTCCGTATGTCCAACAAATTAGAGCATGAATATCGTGATATTTAATTTGCGCCAAATTAAATTATTGTCAAGATATTCAATAATCAACGTCATGAAGATTTTCGTTTCCATCTAGTTGATTTACAACATGTTTTGATATGCCCAGTTAACGTCGCAGATTTATAAATGTTATAAGTTACCTCATTTCAGTGATAACAGATAGCATGAGAATAAGAAATGACTGACTAAACATTCACTGTCTTTTAAATTATAAAACCTATTGTATATTTATAAAATGTATAATATCCGGTTGGCAACCTTAATAAAGTTTGCCTCATAAAAATGTCTAAATTAATTTTTATATAATGAAAAATTTTTACTTATCAAATAAGCAGTTGGTAAAGCAAACTTTATTACGGTTGCAACCGAATACTATTCAAAAGTTTAAAAATTATTGAAAGCTTCTACTTAGAATCCACGTTCTTTAAACCACTTGGCAGCTGCCTAGGCTGACTAGGCTCTCCGACTGCCGATGCAATGATAATGTAAGTCTTTGCCTGCAGTAAGTATGCAATGATAATGCAAGTGCCTCCCTCGCCATCAATTAGTATGCAATGATAATGCAAGAGAATCACTCACCATAAATTAGTCTGCAAATAATAGCGCACTAAGTGCATTTGATTACTCACCAGCCATAAGTAGAAGGAAGGAAGATGCTTTTGATATTTTGAACGTCATTTTTCCCAAAGATGTCATTTTTTTCTGAAAAATCGCTCTCGTTGCAAGCATTTTGCACAATATTATTATGAAGAAAACAACAAGTCTGTATTAAAAATTAGTAATTATGTGGTTTACCAATGACGTGTACTATAGCATTTATTTACTTCCTAATATAATTCGGCTTTGTTTAGATTTCGGTTTTGAGGAGAATGTACAATTTTCTTGCTTTGAATAAAATTCAACACAGATCTGAGTATGAACACAAAAAATCAGACCTTTCACTATAAAAAGAAAATTTTATAGTCACGGATAATGGAGGCAGAGATAAGGCTCATTGAGTGGCTCACTCTGCATCCCGAGCGCCCGAAGCTTCTTATAAGAGTAGCGGTAGGCCTGAGATCCTGAACTGCTTTTTCAAGCGTCCTTCTGACATCAGAAGGATATTTCCCCAGGCCAGGCTAAAGCTACTAAGCCGGTATAACAATACACCACGAGATTGAATTTAATCTTTTCTGACTGCCGCTCCTGAAGTAATCTTTTCTTAAATATAAATGAGAATTATCTTAATTTCTGGTCATTATTTTTTTAAGTGCTATTTACCATGTGCGAGGTAAAATTATATACTATTTTTCATTGTAAAAATGCTCATCGTTCACTCCACTCTCGTTCCTATCATAATATTTGGACTAACAGACCATGAACTGCATTACTCTGGAGGTCAAGCGTTGCAATGGTCCGGAATTTGTCAAGTTATCTGACGTAATGCGACTGGACTCTGGAACTGCAGTCGCTCTTAACAAGATAAAGCCAGAGGGAAAATTTCCTAATGATATTACTTCGTCGCTACCGCCGTGTCAAAGCCGCGTTTACAGGAGCCGGAAATATTCCGATCGTCGAGGCCAATTCACGAGCTAATTAATGAAGCTGTTATAGCAACTGGTTTCTAGCCGTTGGAATATAGTCGTATCGATCTTCACTAGTTGACTGAACCAATTTCTTCACTTTAAGCATTTTCACGCTAATTTGACTCTTCATCACCTATAATTCTTCAGGAGTCAATATTAATGGGCAACATATTCGTTATGAAACAATTTGAAAGATATATGAGTCAATTGCCGCGAATTATTCATTAGTATGTTTCACGTTACATATACATATACAACGTACATGGACCAAAAAATATCACGAGATGTGCAACAATACATGGGCGGTGGAATATATTATTCATAATAGAGAAATAATTTCTTTATAACGTGTTGATTCTATAACAAGTACGAGTTTCTACTCATTAATATACGGATGGGTCGAAAAATAGTACTCATCTCTAAGTTTTAGTCCGGTTTAGTTTCACTGGAAATTCAGTTTAGTACCAACAGGAAAATAAGGATGTTGCAATACCTATAGGGGAATTAATTTTAAGCCAGCTTGGTAGCACAGAAATATACGTTTTTAAATCTTTATTCGCCAGTGATTCCGTCAAAGCAACGCAGAGAAAAGAGGAATCTGAGGGCAGACGACGCTGCACAATTTTGCATCCTAAGCGCTTGTTCACCCGAGGGGCGATGTCTGGCCGCTGTCGGTACCGAGTCTTCATATTTAATTTTGGACGTCGACTAGCAGAGCTAATTAAACTTGGTCGTACAACGAGAATGTTCAACGGCAGACCCAAGTTGAAGTTTTTCTTTTGTTTACAAGGGACATAATTCCCGCGTTCATTTTAGGAGCTTTAGAGACTGTATCTCAGTGGCAGCATCTGCACGGAGTATAAATTAATTGAACGCGTTGAAACACGCGCGTCTACACACGCGTTGACACACGCGTGGACACACGCGCCCATACATGTGTTGACACAAGCGCTGAAACAAGCTTTGATGCACACGTTGATACATGCGTTGACATACGCGTTCATCCGTCAATCCTTCCTCATGCAGACATTCAACGGTATTAGCATACCTCTATGCTTCATTTCCCTCATCTGTTATGCCCCGAAGCTTCGTCCCTCATGTAGCTTCATTTCCCTCATCTGTTATGCCCCGAAGCTTCTTCCCTCATGTAGCTTCATTTTCCTCATTCGTTCACATTTTTCAAGCCGCGGCTTGCGATGGGATGCACATTTTCCGTCGGAAACTTTGCCTCCTACCGATTTTTACGGAACGCTGAGGGATATGCATTCTCGCGAATAAGTTATAGTCGCTTGTTAATTAACCTTACCGCACTGTTCAATAGAAAGTTTTTGAAAGCAATGACGTAATTTCTGTTAATTTCGTGAAACAAAAATTTAGAGATTCTTGGACACAGAATTTTTGTGGCATGCCATTGATCGAGGCTTACAAGCAAACAAATGTATTTTTTGCTCTCGTTGACTAGAAAATCGAGCTTTTTAGGACATCTAAACCAGACTGTAGAGTAAAGGAGAATTTTAAGTAAAGCATATTAGGCTACATTTATAATCGACAAAGTGCCACGATGAAAGTACACGTGAATAATTTCGTTCGTGATGTCTCTATATATTCATTTATTATGGAGAGCCTGCATGCTCAGGAGATGTCATGTTTTCTAACTACTTTATCTTTACTACTTGAGCGTCGCTTTGTAGACATCTTTTATTACATCCTTACTTCGCTTATTCAGAGCTGCGGAAGACTGCAAACTAAAAATGGCAGCCTCCCAAATAGAACAATATGCCTGGATTATTATTTTCGTAGGCCAATAAATTGCCAAAGGTCCCTGATTCATGGAAGCTTTTTAATAGAATTGGACTGCTGGCAATTGCTCGACCGTCTCCACTTACGTATTTTCAGCACCCTTTTGGCTGCACAGCATCTGCTATTCGGCAGCACACCAGGGAGGCAAAAAATGAGTGTCTATTGTGCCTACAACTGCGATTGTGGAACGAGAAAAGTTCGTGACTGCAAGTTTCGTTTGGCATCACCTTAGGAAATGTGTAGGAGGGTTTGTGATCGTAAAACGCATGGATGCGAGTTTCGATATTTGCTTTTCCTCTTGAATGAGAATATCACTCGGAATTTTGTTGCTGGTAAGATAATCATGATTTGATGGTTTAAGAATTTGCGATCTTTTCATTTAATGTGCGATAAAATGCAAAAAAATCCATGGTTTTGTGGCAGAACATTCCGAATTTTCCATAATGAATTATTATAAATTACTGAATATACAACGTAAGCCAAAGTTATAGCGACAAATTCATTTACATGGAGCTACTTCCCAGCCTTCGCTTTTAACAAACATTTTATAAACAACTAGACCTTCACATCGGTCTTGGGATTAGAGTGAAATAACATAATACATTTTCATTTAAACCTACCTTCGCATGTGGAACAATTTGCTCAAGGAGTTAATTCTTATGGCAAAGGAAACTTGAGCTTTTGGAAATTAAAATAAAGACATTCAAGGGGATGTCAAGCAGGCTTAGTGAGATTAGAGCTCTTGACGACCAAACTTTGCAGGCGTTCTTGAGTGCTCTTATCGAAAACCTGGACAGCCAATTATTGATGGCCAATACATACCAATCGGTTGGCCACCTAAACTATGTTCCTAATGCGCCAGTTTTCCGTATGTGACTCAATTTATACCGGGCTGAGGGCAATGAGTTATGGTGACACTGAAAAATTGTTAATAAATATCCAAGAGTTTGCATAGTTGACTTAATTATTATCAGCACACAAAGACTAGTCGATGGTGACCTCTGAAGAAAATAAATAAAGACAGCTCACCATGTTTGGTATAGCAAGTTGATGGGAAGATGCATGTTATAGTGAGTCTACCCGAGATTTTTTCATTTTAAAACTTTTAGTGATACATCTGATTCGCCTGAATGAATACTGGCGCATTTATTTCTCAAGGAAAGAGCTTAATTATCTTTCCTACTGAACATCCTGTCCACTCCAGGAACACAATAATCTTTCCTACTGAACATCCTGCCCACTCCAGGAACACAGTGATCTTCCCTACTGAACATCCTGCCCACTCCAGGAACACAGTGATCTTCCCTACTGAACATCCTGCCCTCTCCAGGAACACAATGATCTTCCCTATTGAACATCCTGCCCACTCCAGGAACACAATTGCAGGATCTTCCCTATTGAACATCCTGCCCACTCCAGGAACACAAGGATCTTCCCTATTGAACATCATGCCCACTCCAGGAACACAATGATCTTCCCTATTGAACATCATGCCCACTCCAGGAACACAAGGATCTTCCCTATTGAACATAAGGCCCACTCCAGGAACACAAGGATCTTCCCTATTGAACACCCTGCCCACTCCAGGAACACAATGATCTTCCCTACTGAACATCCTGCCTACTCCAGGAGAGACACGCCTTGCTTTTGAGAACAAAAACATTTTTGGGGGGAATTCTCTTGAAGCGAAGCCTGTATTGGATCTTTGATGACGCGAAACCAGAACGGGTCCCCTAGAGGAGGAATTTCTTGTTACAGTTTTGGAGGTGTACCGTGAAAAATTATGTTTTATATAATGGCAATTACAGTAGAATGATTATTTATTCTTATTTTATTTTGCATTTGATATTAATGTACTTATTTATAACCGTATAGACATAAAACTAACAGAAAGCGTCAGAGAATCAAAAGTACTAAAATTTTAAGTTAAACAAAAAAATATGGTTTATATGATGCATTAATTTTGGAGGCAAATCAACTGCCAATTTAAAAGATTCAAATTTTATTCATCTTAACTAACGAGTGCTGAGCCTTTTCTTTTATAGCAGACAAATAATTAATTATAACATTCAAGATAACGAGTGTAGAATATTTCCTTCTATTGCAGGCAAATAAACAATTAGGACAAAATTCAGCTCCAGTGTAGCACGTTGGAAGTCCACATTTCTTCAGATATTTTAATTTTTTCTCAAAACAGTTTACTTGAACATTTTCACAGTTTAACACTATTCGGCGAACGAAAGATGCTTTGATAAAAATCGGAAATTGTATCCATGGCAGGCATTTATTTGAATAAAATCAAGATCACGGTTTTTGCATTACCAAAAAACTGCTATA